GCCTAGAACCCCAACACTTCAGGGTCTGAGATAGACGACGGGAGTGTGAAAAGCTAGCTGGAGCTGCATAGGGAGGTACTGTCCACAGAAAACACATACTAGCCAGGTGTGCCGGCACACGCCTTTAATCCCAGCTCTCCGGAGGCTGAGGCTGGCAGATCTCTGTGAGGTCGAGTCCCATGTGTCTCAGGCTAGCCTCAAACTTGTTAGCAGCCTAGGATGACTTCAAGTGATCTTCTCCCTACCTCCACCTCCACAGTGCGGGGATGACAGCCATGTATCACCATGCCGGGTGCATGTGGTACTGAGGATCAAACCCAGGGCTTTGTGCATGATTGTTAACTCTGTCAGCTAAACTACATTCCCCACCCTGTAATGTGTTATTATATAGTACTGTTTGAAGAAATAGTATGGCGTTTCCTGCAATTTTGCCTTCAATTTTAGGGATTCAAAGAACCTTTAAAACCAGCCCTGGTTTAATTCCAGCATTTAGGAAGAAGAGGCCGGCAGATTTATGTGAGTTTGAAGCCAGCCTGGTCTACATTGTAAGGTCCAGGCCAGGCAGGGCGACATAGAGAAGCAGGGCCCATTGTCCCTACCATAGAACAGAGGAAAAGACGGAGAGAAGTGGGCAAGGCATATGCCCACCAGGCTGTGGTACCTGGAGAGAGGTTCAGTTGAGAGAAAGCCTACGGGCAGAAGAAGGCCAGGCTCTGGTGCCCACAAGAAACCAAAGGCGTGAAAGAGACGGGTGCTCTGGGGGTGGCGGAGTGCTGGGACCCCGAGCCTCACTGACAGAACTCTGTGTATCTGTACTGAATGACTACAGAGCAAGCCTGCGTAGCACCAGATCTAAAGATAACATGAGCCAAGAAGCCCCCAGCTGAGAGAGCCAACATCCTACCCGGCTCAATGGACTGACATTCTGCTCCCTACCACTCCCTGACACCAGAGTTCTCTGGTCTCCCTCCCCCTCCCACCCATTAGCTGTTCAAGTTCATTGAGAGGATGCCCTAGGGGTAAAGGAATCACCAGCCAGGCCTCTGTCCCTCCTCTGTGAGACCCCCAGCTCCAGGCATGCCATGCATCTTCTGTAGCTCCCACTCCAGTCATGTGATAGGGTCAGGGGAGGGCATTCAGACAGCCAGTTAGCCTGTCCACATGGTTGCTTGCTTGTGCCTTGGCTTTTTGCACCTTCTGGGATTTCCAGGTGGGCAGGAACTGGCTCAGTCCTCACGCTGGGTGATGATGCTCCCTAAAAGCAAGAGGAAAGCTCCTCCCCCAGGTCCTCCAGCCCTTCAACCTGGCCCAAACTGGTTTTTGGCAGATTTTGTGCCCGTGTCTCTTCCTCTAGCTCTTCCAGGCTGTGCTATAACTGCACTGCAGCCTCTTGGCCTCCCGCTGCCTGTACATCCTCTATCTGGCTGCCAGGCCTACCGCGGGCTGGAGAGAGAAACCCTTAGCCGCGTCGCCCCAGCTAACCTGAGAGAGACCCTATACCTCAGCTCTCTGCATCTCAAGGCTGGACTTGGAAGACCTCAGAGACCCGCCACGCCCCTTGGACGAAGGTGGTGTCTACACTCCGCCCCTGCACCAGTCTCCAGGGAACCTGTTTCCCGGGCCTAGCAGGCAGAGCAGGCCCTGGCCCGCCCAGCATCGCTGGCTCAGATTTCCCTACTTTCTGGTTTTCTCATCTCCCCTGCCCCAGGCGCCACTGCCTGCTCTCTCGCCCAGCCCCCACCCCCGGAACTGGAACCAGAGAGGGGGAGAATTGGGAAGGGGCCTAAGAGAGGGTGTGGGGCAGCCGGTTGGGCAGCACCGTGAGGGGGAGGCAGTGAGGAGTCACCCCTGGCCCAGGGCCAGGATGAGGTTTGGTTCAACCTCCTGCCCAGCCTGCCCCAGAGGCTGGCTAGGAGCCGATCAAACGCTAGAATGATCCACCTCCCTGGCTGCTTACCAGCCTTTCTGCGGCTGTTCCCTCACCAGGAATGTTCTTCCCAGGCATCGATGCCAGTCGCAATCCTGCACTTCCTCCAGGACTGAGCCTTTGGTCCCTTTCACCCACAGACGCTGCCCCTTGCTGTCCAAGGGTCTCAGCTCCCCTACCCCCTCAGGCATCCCTGGTCTCTTCTAGAACCTCTGAACTCTCATTCTGGAGCCTTCCCACATGTGGGTCCCTTGTCTGGAGAATGC